AACTTTAGGGATCTTATCTATGCACAAACAGCTTGTAACACTCCAAAGAGAAAGGAAATTTTGAAATTGCATCATATGACCCCTTTAATTTCTTTAATCTAACATTATAGTAGTACTGAATGAAAGGAGTACAAAGGTACACTTCTAGGTATGTTAAAAGTGTGTATTTATTGTAGGCTCAGAGATTAAACCAGCAGAGACAGATGCAAAAGAAGCATCTGAGGAGGCTAAACAACTGGACTAAAGTGAGACACTTTGAAGTCCGATTGGTCTTCAGTACCCGACTGAATGGGTAGTAGGTTCCCTCCGCTCTGCTGTTGAAGTGCTGAATTGTTTTTCACCTGACTTGTACAAAACATAAAGAATAAAAATGCTGAACATCACATCTAGTTTACAGTGGTTTAAATGCACACCTATGCTCATGTGCATATGTTTTCTGGACATGCTTCTTCCTGCTCCAGGTGACTAAGATGACCATTACCCCAATCAAACAGCAGAACGAGAAAGATTCCCATCAACACTCCGCCAATCACATGCAGTTCCTCCATCTAACAACAGAACACCATGTCAAATGATTTTAGTATTCAGTGATGTTAGAGCTGTGTGTGTGTATGTGTGTGTGTGTGTGTGTGTGTGTGTGTGTGTTGTACTCACAGGTCATTCTGAGGGTTACGCTGCACGCTGCCTGACCGAGTTCATTAGACGCTTTACATGTGTAGGTACCAGCAAAGGCATCAGACAGGTTGTGCAACATCAGAGAACCGGTGCGCTGATCTGAAGCACAAATGAGACGTGTTTTTTAGTTATTGTCTCATAGGGGATTTTTTTTAAGGTTGATATCTAGATAGCAGGGTGGCTGATGACTAATGGTGATATATATGGACAATTTACTGACCGCAAATGATATATAGTTAAATGAATATTTATTTTATTATGAATATTTATTTTTATCCACAAATATTAATTACTATAACACATTTTGATGGATTTATTTATTACAAACACAAAGCTTTTCACTTCACAAGATGTTAATGGATTGGAGTCGTGTGGATTATTGTGTTCATCAGCTGCTTGGACTCTCCTTCTGACGGCACCCATTCACTGCAGAGGATGCATTGGTGAACAAGTGATGTAATGCTACATTTCTCCAAATCTTTCTGATGAAGAAACAAATTCATCTATGTCTTGGATGGCCCGAGAGCAAGTACATTTTCATTATTGGATTAACTATTACATTATTAAACTTTAGTAATTTTATTGAAATCATTAGTAAGTTAATGCTTAGTGTTTATATATTATCCTGTTTGGCTCTTTATAAAATCTTATATAATTGTTGAGTAAGCAAATCCGTGCTGTCTGTGTCATCCATGCCCTATTTTCAGGTGCCAGAATTATTGTTTCCTACCTTCAATAAAACTGTCTGGCGGCAGAGGGGCTGCTTTCTGCTCTCTGTGCCATGAATAGATCTGTGTGGGGAGACCCTGAGAGGAATGACAACTCAGAGTCACATCATTCCCCATGTAGGGGTTTCCCTGCAGCTGACATACTGGCACAGACGGAGGAACTGAACACACACACACATATGATTTCTATAGACAATAATGAAATTAATCACAATTAATTATTGAAATACAGTATGTGTTGTTAACTAAAACTATTAAAAATATTTTTTGTTAATTGAAATAGAGCTGAATTAAAATGATAAATATTAGATGGAAAAACTAAATGTAAAAAAATGAAAATTAGAAATGTTACTAAAAGTACTAAAATTAAACTTAAAAATCTAATTAGGAATGTAAAAAATTGTAAAAACGACAAAAGCACATAATAAAATTACTAAAACTTAAAAGTAAATATGAAATGATAAAAATAAAAGCTAATTCAAAATATTGACAGAAAACGGCATACATATTTTAATAAATATTAATAATACATTTTGATTTTAATAAAAAACACTCTTTTAGTGTAACACTTTAGTTTAGGGACCAATTCGCACTATTAACTAGCAGGCATATTACTAGCATATTTGCTGTTTATCAGCACTTTTAAACCACATATCAGCACTTTTAAAAACACGTTATTCTGCATGACCATATTTTAGATCCCTTAATCCGACCGCATATTTAAACTTAACAACTGCTTACTAACTAATAGGCAGCAAAACAGGAGTTTATTGAGGCAAAATTATAGTTAATAGTGAGAATTGATCCCCAAACTAAAGTGTGACCAAAAAAAATAATAACAAAGAAAATATTTCCAGATAATATATATATATATATATATATA